TTTCGATTATTCGAGGTTATCGACAGCCAGCAAGTATTCCTTTAATTAGAAGATGGTCGAACCTGGATTTTTCCACGACCCACTCTCCTTCCAATCGTTTCGCGTATACGATCGTTGTTCTTATGAGCGGGATAATAAAAGTTTAATTGAGAAACTGGTCGTGCAAGCAAAGAACACGACCACAGTCCGGGTGTGTTTGTCGGGGGGGTAGTTTTGTCAGGCCAGGTCAATATGTCGAATTGGAAGTCAATACGTTCGAGGTTTCGGCCTTTATGTACCGAACCAGTGAGAGATTTAACGTGTTTCTCGCTAACGTGCTCGTTAGGCAGAATTAAATTCGTGGGGCTAAGGTATTATTGACGTCATTTGGTTGGCAAAGGGTCTCGCTTTGAATATAACAATAGTTTGAATAAATCCTCGACGGTGAATTGACTTTATGCAGTTTTATTTAAACGATTGTTTCGATTTTTCTTTTCTTTTTTTTTTTTTTTCCTTTTGATGATTGAAAGCTTTGAGAAATTTGGAAGATTAATTTTGGAATTTTAGAAATATATGTTTATGATGCATTCAATTCATCATTAATGTCTATGTGATAATTTTGAGTACATAATGCCATGTAATAAAGTTTTGTGTTATATATGAGGTGATTGAAGAAGAAGAAAGAGAATAATTGAATTTATATGATAAATGAAATCTAAAGTGAATGATACAAGTCAATATTATTTAAAATGTCAATAAAAACATGCTATTTGAGGATTGTTAAAGTTTATTTTCTTGCAATTAATTGTTGGAGATGAGTAAAATTAAATTTTATCTTTAATAAATGATTTTAATATTCAATTTTATTGTAAATTATTATATATCTTTAAAGAAAAATCTAATTAAAATAGAAAGATATTTATTTGTATTTTTTAGAAGAATTTTTTTGAAATTCAAAAAATTAACAATTATTTTTCGCTTTTGTGGTTACAAGATACATGGTTAGAGAATTCCTTTGAATAGTTATACTAATTTCGAATGAAAGAGACGAATGTTCCTTGGGTGAACGAAGGTGTACTTAAAGATGATTCAGAGCTTACTTGCAACAGACCTGAGGGAAGTATGATGTTCAACGTAAGCAGAATGTTTCGTAGATTAGGTTACAAGAAGTTCTCTTTCAATGAATAATTCATCTCTGACTAAACATCACCGCATGGAATATTTTTCATTTTACTTGAACGTTCGCTTACTGTTTCTGAATAAAATTATTTCGATGAAAAATAAACTTTTACGATTCTATTATCGTATCGTTTTTGATTTATTTAAAATATATTCGTACATCCTAATAAAAATATCAATTTCATTAAAATGTAATGCTACAAAATTTTTCTGTAAAATTATATGCAGTTCATTTTAATAAAAATTATATTTTACGGGATATATGGAGAATTTCATAGATGATTAATGTAGATGTGAATTAAATTCTCTCCATAAAATCAACTTCACGAATATTAATTTTATGTTATTGCAAAACTTTTTCAAGAAATCAACATTGATGAGAATTTATTACATTATATCAAGTATAATGAAAAAAGACAGCAATTTACTTACTAATTATAATTTGATATATTTTATATGTGAGTAAATCGTTCCAATGTTTAATATATTTTCATGTTTATCTATATTTATCTCGTACATCCATTAAATTAATTGTAGTAAATTAGTAATTAAATTAGTAATTAAATTAGTTAATATTTAAAATTATCGATCTTAAGGATTATTTTCTTGTATTTTACATTTAAAATATAAATTTTCGATTTAATTATCATACTAAAAAACATGAGAAAATATTTCAGAGATTATTCGCGATGCTGTTATTTATTAAAAGATTGAAAACAAAAATGAAAAGTATATCGCAAGCTATTCCCTTTTATCGTACAGCTTCGATTTCCGATCGATCATTTGTTTTCATCAGATTCTAGACACGATAGGAGTCGAAAATATCGGTCTCTTAAGAGTTTAAACGAGATATGCAAAAACTTTAGGGTGGTATCGAAACTATCCTGTCGTTTCACCGATTTTTATTCTCTCGCGTATCGAAACTCTGAAAAGATGCGCCTCACGGAACGCCAAAGAACTCTTTTATCTCGAAAAAAAAAAAAGAACACGAAGACCAACCCTGTTTTCTTCGATATCGGTCGAAACAAATCTTGATCGATCGAATTCATCGATACACCTGAGAGAAACGAAAGTTTATCAGTCGAACTAGTTATCATTTAAAAAACTTGTTGTGTTAATTTAAAGTAACGGTTAATGCACGTTCTCTTCTTTCAATATATATCAACAAAACGAGAAATTTTTAAACACGATGAAATATAATATTCAAAATATTATTTAATATAAAAATTGAAAAAAAAACAATCTTTGAATAACACTCCGAGTATTCTTTTACTTCGAATTTCTTTTAAAACAATTTATTGATCAAAATTATTATGATATTTATATCTAGATAATTCGGCCAATAAATTATTGAAACTACAAAGGAAAGAAATCTCAGATTCTTATAATTTAAATATAAATTAATAAAATTGTCATAATAATAAATAAAATATAATATAAAATAAAATAAATAATAATAATAAAAGAAATGAATAAGCTCATGTGAAAATTATTTTGATCAAGTATACATAAAATATTTCAAAGAGACATTAGCCCAAACTTTTAAGAAACTCATATTGCACCGTCCAAAAACTTTCGTCTCATTCTTGGTATCATTGGCGTCGAAACTCTTGACTAAAATTCTCGAAAAGGAAAACATCAAGAAAAGAAAGGAAAATCCTTCGTTCCTTTTCCCATTTTCTATCCTGCATCGTTCCATAAATCGATGCCACGGATCTCCTCGCGACACTTTCCGCTCGTTCGAACGCACGAGCCTCGCATACGATATGAATCACGCGGAGAGGAGGAGACATGCGTTCAATTAGGTCGTGAAGTCCTATAGTAAAGCTCCACGATCGATAGCGACATCACGAAAGCGATAAAATAATTTCTTGGCACGATTTTATCGTTGTCAAAGATATTTAAGATTTCTCTGATGAGGAATCGTATGATTGGATCGAATTATCAGGATCGAAGCTATTCTTGCTCGGGGAAATATTCTAAAGAAGATAGAACAGAGAATTTGTTCGAGAAAGGACGAGGATAATTGTTCCATTATTCTCTTTGTCGTTCTTTTCTATTGTTATTTGTAATTGATTTTGGCCGTGATGTTTGTTCAAGTTAGGATACGCAAACTTTGGAGAATATACATGGCATGGATCAATGGCGTGATGGTTTTTTCGTTGTGCTCTATTTTCTTCTTGTATCTTTTAGATAGGGTAGATTAATTGATGATTATAATGATACTTAATAATTTAATTAAACTTCATCCGGTCAAGGCTATCTTATCATGTTTAAGGGATGATTGATTGATCTGTACAAAATAGTTATGACCAAATGAGAAGCTTAAAAAATTATTAACAAATCAATTATTTGTTAGATGGCTCGATAAGACAAAGCACGAATAAAGAAAAGTATAGGTCAATCATTTTTAGATAAATAGGGCATGATTAATAATTTATTAGAATGACAATTAAGTAAAATGAGTAATAATATAAATCAATTATTTATTTAAAAATGTAGTAGATCAATAATTTTTCACTTGATCAATATTGGTCTGATCATTAGATTAAACAAGTAAATTAATAAGTTATATAAATAAATTACATTCTTACTTTTATTTCGAATTATTCAACAATTAACAATTCTCTTTTTAATAAAATAACAAATTTCTTCGCAGAATATTATATTCATATAACAAGAAAAATATGCAATTTACTTTATTTTTTAAATGCAATAGATAACAAAAAAAAAATTCGTCATATTCAACAAAATGTTTGAATAATAAAACTTTTAAATGGGAAAACTTTAAACACCGAAGTTTTATCTTACCATAAAATCATTTTTAACGCTCATATCCGTGCATAAAATCATCGCGTACCGACTAAATCACATTTTCCAGTTTGCGGTTCAAGATGTACACAAAACATAGACGCGTTTTCCGGCGGCGATGCTGAAACGACTTTGAATTTCGTGCCCGGAAAGATTCAATTATGTCGGTGGAATCTTGCGGAAGCCCGCAGAGAAGAAGATTGCCGTGGAAACAGAAGCACGTATCGTGTCACGTACTTCCCCTCGTTCTATATTTCTTCTTATTTTCATCTGTAAGAAGGCAACACCTTGTTGCTCTCGCTCTCTCGAAATCTTTTAGCGCTCGCTAATTATCAAAGTTATTATTTATACTTTAGAGAGAAAGAGTATAAAAATAGGAGAACATCGTTCGAGATATTACAGCGTGATTTTCCTTGAACCGATTGGAGTAAAATTTGAGTAAAATTGGAGTAAAATTATGATTGGAGTAAAATTTGAGGTGAGAAATTTGTTGTAAAAGATAGTAAATTATTTTGCAGTAAATTTTTTACGAATTTTTTGAACAAAAAAGGCAATGATAAAAAATATAATAACAATCAATATCTCTATCTTTCTATTTTTATACGTATACCATTTCTTCGGTCATAATTTTTTCTATATCTTAAATAATTAATTCATGATTGCAATTTTATCTATCGTTTTAATTCCCTTGCCTGATCACAACTTGACTGAGAAATGATTGATGTACATCTACGTACCGTTACGATCAGTAGTATAGACCAATTATATCTCTATCTTTTCTTTTCTTACGTGAATCTTCTAAATATATTATCATTTTCTCTTATCACAATTTTTGTCTCTATCTCTAATATACTTAATCCATGATCAATTCCCTTATCGAACTTATAACTTGATTAAAAATAAATGATTTATGTCTTGTTGACTTACGTCACATCTGACATTCGTGTTTAGACAAGTAGTATAGATCAATCATTTGTCGGGCAAATGATCAGGATCCGAAAAGAAATACAGAAAAATTTCTCGTTTCCCAGCTCCGGACATCAGGATCTTGGACGAGGCCAGACACGAACTTCGAGATCGGTACTACAAAACCGGAAGTGGTATCGAGCTAGCCTGCGTCGCTCGACCTTCTTGCCCTGACTCCAGGATACCGCATCCCGTCTGGAGGAAAAATAGTGAGACGTTACCGAATTACGTCAACGTTTATCACATTAATGGGTGAGCATACACGGTAGAAAAAAAAAAAAAAAAAAAGAAAAACGATGGAATCACGATAGATAAACCGCGTTCCGATTTACGTTCGTGCAATTGTGTCTCCATACGTATCAGCAAGCATGTAAGCACCGCTTTTATCGAATCGACTCCCCGTTGAAAGCTGTCTAGCGTTCACCTACACCCTTTCTCGATAACGAGCGAACCGTTTAGTCTCCCTGGAGGCGCTTTCACGAGACGCTCAATGCCCTTGCAATCGCTACATTCCATTTCGACTCCTGTTTTTGTATCCACTCTATATTTTCTTCTCTTCGTAATATATGCTTTCGTCCGTATTGAATTCAGTTATATATCTTTGATTCATGATTGAAATAATTGCAAATATATATCCATGATTAATCGATTTTATTTGATTCGCACGAAGTATCGATTTTAGAATCGATAGAAACGCGAGTGTAAGTTTTTTCAATCGATGCATTGTGGATTTTTTTATGCACAATTGTTGATTTATTATCTTTAGAAATTGTGTTGTAAATGTAAGTAAATGATTTGTCGTAATACATCATTTAGAATAGAATACAATTCCATTTCGGTAAGGTTTAAATTGCTACATTTGAACTCAATGCTATTAAACGAGTCTCATCCATCCACTGGTATTGGTTAGGATCTTGTACGTTTGTTATGGAATGGTGTTATGATTTCGTGCCTAATTCAGAGAATTCGACAAAATTTGCATAGTTTCTGATATCAAGATTAATGTTCCAAATGTACAAGATCAAATTATCTTTCTTTTGAAATTCGAACGAGAGATATTTCACAGCAAGTACGTTTCACTATCGATTTCAATTTTTCACGATATTCGATCCTATCGTGATTCGACATCGAACGTTTGCATATTTTTCTTTTTTTTCCTTTTTTTTTTTTTTTTTTTTTGGAAAATACATATTGAAATGAAGGTTCAACGTATAACATGACAACTGATTTTTCAGGTCGAACGAAGATCTGGTGACCAAGCTATATATCGAACAGGCGAAAAAGACTGACAGCGGCGAATACTCGTGCTCAGTGAGCCAATTCAGTACCGCCGCGGTGCATATTCACGTCCTGAATGGTAAATTGAATTGAAAGTTATGCGTTTGTATAAAGATTCTCTTATGGTGATTCAGAATAATTCAATGTGAAAATTTAAACTTAATATTGAAAACATATATGTTATACACTTCATACAGTTAATCTTTATACGTTCTTAAGCAAATTTAATTAACAAATTGTATTATTAAAATTAATTAAAATTTTATTTTTAATTTGAAACTTTATAAATACACAGAATACAATGGATTATATGGTACAATTTTTTCTTGGAGATTTTTACTTTGAAAAGGTAAAATTAATTTTAAGTTTCAATGTTATTTTCATTATTTTATATTTATTTATATAATTTTTTAGCATTGCAAGTTAAAATATATAATTTCTAATATGAAATTCAAGATTTGATTTGTATCATCTTGTTGTAAAATATATTTTTTGAAGTTCAAAACATTTTCATTGAAATGAGAATTTTCTGATTGGGAGAATTTCCTTATAAAGTTGATGACTAATTGAAGATACCAAGAAGAAGGAATAAAATTATGATAATATTTTTATAATTTCTCTTTAAAAAATATAAATATATTTTCTTCATACTAATATATTTATTTTTATTGCAGGTGAAAAGCAGGCTGCGGTTCATCATGATCAATGGAATGCAGCGCGAACAAACTGCGAAAAATTGAATAACTTATACATCACAATTGCCAGCTTTATTTTCCTCCAGACTTGGATGATCAGCTCGTCATGAACCTCATCAAAAAAACAAAATCTTCAAATTACGATTGCACACTACATATTTCGCATCGCTCTGTATTCGTGGATGTCCGCCAAAAAACGTTTCTAGTAACAGATCAGTATTACAATTGACGAAAACTGCCGAATAAACAATTGTATGCAATAAATTAGTATGTAACAATATTAAAAAAAAATATATGTTCACATGAAATTGTGAATATATCCGATATTGACCCGATTCATTCGGATCTGGTAAGAAAATATACTTCATGAAAATTTATTTTATGAAACTGGTTGTATCTAAAAAATGTATGTTACAATTTTTTATCATCTTACACAATTTCGTGAGATTAAATAGATTAACATTATCTTACCATATTAATTTACTATATTAATTTAATTACTACATTAATTTTATATGATACTTTATAAGAATATATATTTTTACCTTCATTTTTTTTTTCAAATAAAACTTTGATACTTTATAATGATACTTTATAAGAATATATATTTTTACCTTCATTTTTTTTTTCAAATAAAACTTTGATCAAAATTGATATTTTACAATTAAATATATAGTTTAAATATAAAATTTACTAATTAATTAATTAAAAAATAACAATATCAATAAAGGGATAACAAAAGTTCTAATAATATTGTAACATGCGTTTATTAGGCAAACCATAAATGTCTTCAAAGAGCAATTGCGAATATTAGTAGTTTAAAGATAAGGAATAATAATAAACGTTCCATTCTTCTCTTCTCGATGGCCTGTACATAAAAATATCTTCAATATTGTATAGTCAAACATTATGCTCGATTGGTCGATCCATTGCGATTTGAAATAATTTCACAAATATGCAAATCGCTTGCTCTTAATTATGTGTAAATTGCCCGTCTTAAATCGACCAGTTTAGCTACGCGCATACGTTCTCGGATAATAAAATATCATTAACTAATTTCATTTAAAATATTCTGGTCTTATTCTATCTTCCTTATTCTATTTATTTATTATTATCCTTATCCTTATTATATTATCCAAATATTTATTCTACTTAGTTTTTATTATTGTAGAAATTTTTTATTACAGGAAAAAAAAGTCAAAAGTTGCTATAAGAATTGCCATAGAAAATATAACATATATGCATGATTTTTATAGAAAAAAATATTCAATATTTCGAAACTTATCAACAGACACGGTAATATATTTTATAATTTATTTATAGTTTTTAATTATAAATTATGTATGAAATAAAATTAGAAAGGATACATCAGTTAACATAGGTTTTAAAAATTTCTATCTATTAAAGATATTTTATTCTAAGGATATAAATATATAAATAAAAACATACGAATAAAAAATAAAAAAAGATTATTAAAATTACAATAAAAGGTAAATAAATATAAATATATAATTATAAATATAATATATAATATAAATATAATATAATATATAAATATAAATATATAATAAGAAAGAAAAATATAAGAAAGGATTATTAGTACTATCAGTATCACATTTGAGTATATAAATTTGTAGCAGTTTAGACAAGAAAAGCAAATAATGAGAAAAGGACAGAGATAGAATAAAAATTCGAGAATCAGCGCCATCTCTTGAGTGCCGCAGATTAAACTAACATAGAAAAAGAAAGCAAATAGTAAAAGAAAGATAGAGATAAAATAAAAGTTGACATTTAGCGCCATCTCTTGAAAATATTTTAGAAGAGATGTTTTTAGCATTTAAGAGATGGCGCTGTCATTTAATTCTTCACGTATTTACACAAAATAATAGACTGTGGGATTTTGCATCATATGTTTTCTGTCACATATATTTTTACTTAAAAAAAGTTTTAATATCTTCTTTTAATATTAAATTATTTAGATTAATTTATATTTTATTATATTTTTTCTTTATATTTCAGTTTTTTTTAATTTTATTTTTGTTACATTTTATATTTTTACATTTATTTAACAACAGTATTAATTTTTTTTTCAATTTCTTTAATTTTTAGGTTAAATTTTTCTACTATGTTTAAATCTTTTCTAATTATAATATTATTTATGTTATATTGCATTTTCCTCTTATAGTTTATATATATATTATCAATATTATTATTATAATATTATATTTTTTCTATGCATGTCTTTTTCAATTCAAAATTTATGTTAAAATTTCTTACGTATTAATTTTTTTTTTTTAGATTTTATCTTTTAAATTTAAATTATTTTTACTTTTTATTACAGGGATCCTTTTTTCCTTGCTGATAAAATAATTTAGTGAAGCAATTCTTGAGGAAGAAGTTCAATCTTCAAATTATTTTAACATTGGATGGAGATACAATAGATTGATCTTTTTATGTTCATATTAAAGCCAGGAGATTCTATTTTTGTGTATTCTTTTTCAATTAACACAAGGATCTTTTTCTACTTGCTGACAAAATAATTTAATGAAGCATTTCTTGAGGAAGAAGTTCAATCTTCAAATTATTTTAACATTGGATGGAGATATAATTGATTGATTTTTTTGTGTTTATATTAGAGCCAGGAGTTTCTATTTTTGTGTATTCTATTTAAATTAACATAAGGATCCTTTTTTCCTTGCTGATAAAATAATTTAGTGAAGCAATTCTTGAGGAAAAAGTTCAATCTTCAAATTATTTTAACTTTAATAGAGATACAATAGATTGATCTTTTTTGTTTATAAAGCCAGGAAATTCTGTTTTTGTGTATTCTATTTCAATTATCACAAGGATCTTTTTCTACTTGCTGACAAAATAATTTAATGAAGCAATTCTTGAGGAAGAAGTTCAATCTTCAAATTATTTTAACATTGGGTAGAGATACAATAGATTGATTTTTTTGTGTTTATATTAGAGGCAGGAGTTTCTATTATTATGTACTTTATTTCAATTTATATAAGGATCCTTTTTTCCTTGCTGATAAAATAATTTAGTGAAGCAATTCTTGAGGAAGAAGTTCAATCTTCAAATTATTTTAACATTGGAGATACAATAGATTGATCTTTATTGTTTATAAAGTCAGGAAATTCTATTTTTTTGTATTCTATTTCAATTATCACAAGGATTTTTTTCTACTTGCTGATAGAATAATTTAATGAAGCAATTCTTGAAGAAGTTCAGCCTTCAAATTAATTTAATCTTGGATAGAGATAAAATAGATTGATTTTTTTGTGTTTATATTAAAGCCAGGAGATTCTATTTATGTGTATTCTATTTCAATTAACACAAGGATCTTTTTCTACTTGCTGACAAAATAATTTAATGAAGTAATTCTTGAGGAAGAAGTTCAATCTTCAAATTATTTTAACATTGGATAGAGATACAATAGATTGATCTTTTTGTGTTCATATTAAAGACAGGAGATTCTATTTTTGTGTATTCTTTTTCAATTAACACAAGGATCTTTTTCTACTTCCTGACAAAATAATTTAATGAAGCATTTCTTGAGGAAGAAGTTCAATCTTCAAATTATTTTAACATTGGATGGAGATATAATAGATTGATCTTTTTATGTTCATATTAAAGACAGGAGATTCTATTTTTGTGTATTCTTTTTCAATTGCACAAGGATCTTTTTCTACTTGCTGACAAAATAATTTAATGAAGCATTTCTTGAGGAAGAAGTTCAATCTTCAAATTATTTTAACATTGGATGGAGATATAATTGATTGATTTTTTTGTGTTTATATTAGAGCCAGGAGTTTCTAATTTTGTGTAGTCTATTTCAATTAGCATAAGGATCCTTTCCTACTTGCTGACAAATTAATTTAATAAATCAATTCTTGAGGAAAAACTTCAAATTATTTTAACTATCTTCAAATTATTTTAACTTTAAATAGATTGATATTTTTGTGTTTATATTAAAGTCAGGAGATTCTATTTTTGTGTATTCTATTTCAATTACCACAAGGATCCTTTTCTACTTGCAGACAAATTAATTTAATGTAGCAATTCTTGAAGAAGAAGTTCAGCCTTCAAATTAATTTAATCTTGGATAGAAATACAATAGATTCATCTTTTCCTGTTTATATTAAAGCCAGGAGATTCTATTTTTGTATATTTTATTTCAATTAACACAAGGATACTTTTCTACTTGCAGACAAATTAATTTAATG